CGTAGTTTCAAATTTAGGGTTTAGGGTTTAGGGTTTAGGGTTTAGGGTTCAACTTATCAGGACAAGAAGAAAAGAGTAAGACTAAGACTAAGACCACGACCAAAGCCAAGACTACGACTAGGACTGAGAATAAGAATAAGATTAAGAAAAAAACCTCTGAGACTTAGAACGAGAATAGGAGTGGAGAATGAGAAGAGACATGATGATAGATTATGATAACCAAAATCATAATCATCATCATATTCATATTCATATTCATAATCATAGTAAGTATTCACAATAACACGAAAATAGAAATAGGAATAGCAATACGTAGTCATGACAATGACAATAATCACCATTACTTGTAACCATATAATATAACCTATACAACCTTACTTACGAAGCACGGTCTAGGGATGAGGGCGAAACCCTGTTAGAAGGGTAACGCGCTTTATTTTCGCTGGCGATTTGGGCTGCACTAAAGTTTATGATACGTAGCAGGCGCGGTACTTTCGAGCAATAGACACAGTATTTCTCGGGCATTACAAATCAATCATGCCAGTGGCCAAGAAAAACAAACTGCAGCGCCTCGATGAAAGTGTTCGACACATGTGCATCATTGGGTTTAGGGTTTAGGGTTTAGGGTTTAGGGCATCATTAGCCCCCCTCCTCACCCCCCACCCCCCCTCCCATCCAACCCCGAAAGCAAGAAAGTTCTCGACACATGTCCATCATTAGGCCCCCCCCACCCCGAAAGCAAGAGAGCCAGCCTGAAACAAGACTAGTCCACGAAAGCAAGGACAACGCCACGTAAAATAAAGGCGCGTCGCCCTGACGCTCATACTTACAAAAGGATGGCCAGCACTTTAGCTTTCAGTCCAGGGGTTTAGCGTTTCGGGTGTAGGGTTTAGGTAGGTCAAGGTTTAGGGTTTAGGGTTTAGGGTTTAGGGTTTAGGGTTTAGGGTTTAGGGTTTAGGGTTTAGGTAGGTAAAGTTTGGGGTGTAGGGTTTAGGGTTTAGGGTTTACCCCTCAAAACCTAGCCCTACTCCCTTGTCCCCGAACCGAGGACACAACGTGCCGCGACCTGAAATGGTAAGATGCCCACAAACCCTGAGTGCCCTTGCCGGTCGCACCCTTTGGGGCCCCTGGATTGTGAAACAATACACACAGCCTAAACCCTAAACCCTAAACCCTAAACCCTAAACCCTAAACCCTCAACCCTGCAAAAGCTCTGAGACCATGAAGTCCCCATGTCCTGTAGTAAATTGTAGTAGAGGTAGAATAGTAGTAGTAGTAGTAGTAGTAGTAGTAGTACTGGACCCGCCTTTAGTTGATCGCGGGTCGAACTGAACTGCTCCTTCTCATTGTCTCGGGGTTTGGGGGTGGCGGGGTGTTGTGAACGTCATGCTGCAGTGTATGCGGTGTACATGTTCTGGAGACTATTTGCATATGCCTAAACTCCGAAACCTGCAAAAACACACGATTCCCAAACTCCGAAACCCTGAAGCCGAGTCCGAAATCCTGATACCCCTACCCCTGAAAAACTTTTCGTCGTTAGGGTCCCTTATAAGTTTCGTTGCAAAAGCGTATACCCCACAACCCCATGCTAGCCTTTCTTAAACCCCCTATATAAAACCCGTCTTCAAACCGCTTCGAGGGCCAGTTCAGGGAACCCTTTCAGGAGCCGTAACCCTAAACCCTAAACCCAAAACCCCTAGTAGAAACCCTATTCTACCCTTTAAGGCCGCCCCTGTCTGAGCTTTGCCCACGCACGCCTGGCTCGAAAACCGACGGACCGTTCGCTTGACATTCGTCTTCAAGTTCACCTTGGCGACCCCAAGTAGCCACAAGTGACAAAATAAGAACTATAGCAATAATCACGGCAATTAAGATTATTAAAGTATAAATGGCAACAATCAGAACCACAACCAAAAAACAACAAAAATGGCAATGCAAAATACAGCAAGGATGATAACACCAAGTAGTATGACAATTGTTATACTTACCGTCGCCGATTATTGCCACTACGCTCATCAGCATTTTAGATTAGGATTATGTGGCAGTACCAAGCATCGGAGCGGAATGACTATTGATAGTTATTCGTATCCGAATTAGCATTAGTATGACTCTCAATTTTTGCAAAAGCAGTAGCATTAACATTAGTATGAGCATGAGTTTTAGTATTAGCAACGCAATATTAGTAGTCGTGGTAGCCGTGCTAGTAGTGGTAGTGGTGGTAGGAGGTGGTGGAGGGGTGGTGGTGGTAGTAGTGGTAGTAGTAGTAGTGGTAGCAGTAGTAGTAGTAGCAGCAAAGTAATAGTAGCAGCAGTAGAAGTAGAAGTAGAAGTAGAAGTAGAAGTAGAAGTAGAAGTAGAAGTAAAATTGAAGTAGAAGTAGAAGTGGAAGTAAAAGTAGTAGTAGTTGAAGTACTAGTAGTAGTAGTAGTAGTAGTAGTAGTAGTAGTGGTAGTAGTAGTAGTAGTAGTAGTAGTACTGGTAGTAGTGGTAGTAGTGGTAGTAGTGGTAGTAGTGGTAGTAGTGGTAGTAGTGGTAGTAGTGGTAGTAGTGGTAGTAGTAGTAGTAGTACTAGTAATACTAGTAGTAGT